TTTAATGAATTTATTTGCAAATTATGGTGGAAAATAAGTATTTGGTCACCTACAAACAAGCAAGATTTCTGGCTCTCACAGACCTGTAACTTCTTTAAGAGGCTCCTCTGCCCTCTTACCTGTATTAATGGCACCTGTTTGAACTTGTTATCAGTATAAAAGACACCTGTCCACAACCTCAAACAGTCACACTCCAAACTCCACTATGGCCAAGACCAAAGAGCTGTCAAAGGACACCAGAAACAAAATTGTAGACCTGCACCAGGCTGGGAAGACTAAATCTGCAATAGGTAAGCAGCTTGGTTTGAAGAAATCAACTGTGGGAGCAATTATTAGGAAATGGAAGACATACAAGACCACTGATAATCTCCCTTGATCTGGGGCTCCACGCAAGATCTCACCCGTGGGGTCAAAATGATCACAAGAACGGTGAGCAAAAATCCCAGAACCACACGGGGGGACCTAGAGAGCTGGGACCAAAGTAACAAAGCCTACCATCAGTAACACACTACGCCGCCAGGGACTCAAATCCTGCAGTGCCAGACGTGTCCCCCTGCTTAAGCCAGTACCTGTCCAGGCCCGTCTGAAGTTTGCTAGAGTGCATTTGGATGATCCAGAAGAGGATTGGGAGAATGTCATATGGTCAGATGAAACCAAAATAGAACTTTTTGGTAAAAACTCAACTCGTCGTGTTTGGAGGACAAAGAATGATGAGTTGCATCCAAAGAACACCATACCTACTGTGAAGCATGGGGGTGGAAACATCATGCTTTGGGGCTGTTTTTCTGCAAAGGGACCAGGACGACTGATCTGTGTAAAGGAAATAATTAATGGGGCCATGTATCGTGAGATTTTGAGTGAAAACCTCCTTCCATCAGCAAGGGCATTGAAGATGAAACGTGGCTGGGTCTTTCAGCATGACAATGATCCCAAACACACCGCCCGGGCAACGAAGGAGTGGCTTCGTAAGAAGCATTTCAAGGTCCTGGAGTGGCCTAGCCAGTCTCCAGATCTCAACCTCATAGAAAATCTTTGGAGGGAGTTGAAAGTCCGTATTGCCCAGCGACAGCCCCAAAACATCACTGCTCTAGAGGAGATCTGCATGGAGGAATGGGCCAAAATACCAGTAACCGTGTGTGAAAACCTTGTGAAGACTTACAGAAAACGTTTGACCTGTGTCATTGCCAACAAAGGGTATATAACAAAGTATTGAGAAACTTTTGTTATTGACCAAATACTTATTTTCCACCATAATTTGCAAATAAATTCATAAAAAATCCTACAATGTGATTTTCTGGATTTTTTCCCTCATTTTGTCTGTCATAGTTGATGTGTACCTATGATGAAAATTACAGGCCTCTCATCTTTTTAAGTGGGAGAACTTGCACAATTGGTGGCTGACTAAATACTTTTTTCCCCCCACTGTAGCTCCATTCTTGTGTGTTTTTATTTCTCGTATTAGTTACTATGTATGTATGTGTGTGTACGATACATGACCAAAAGTATGTGGACACCTGCTTGTCGAACATCTCATTCTAAAATCATGGGCATTAATATAGATTTGGTCCCCCCTTTGCTGCTATAACAGCCTCCACTCTTCTGGGAAGGCTTTTCACTAGATGTTTGTGCACTGTGGCATTGTCATGCTGAAACAGGAGAGGGCCTTCTCCAAATTGTTGCCTCAAAGTTTGAAGGACAGAAGCGTCTAGAATGTAATTGTATGCTGTAGCGTAAAGATTTCCCTTCACTGGAACTAAGGGGCCTAGCCCGAACCATGAAAAACAGCCCCAGACTATTATTCCTCCTCCACCAAACTTTACAGTTGACACTATGCAGTCGGGCAGGTAGCGTTCTCTAGGCATCCGCCAAACCCAGGTTCGTCCATCGGACTGCCAGATGGTGAAGCGTGATTCATCACTCCAGAGAACACGTTTCCACTGCTCCAGAGTCCAATTGCGGCAAGTTTTACACCACTCCAGCCGACGCTTGGCATTGTGCATGGTGATCTTAGGCTTGTGTGCGGCTGCTCAGCCATGGAAACCCTTTTCATGAATGTCCTGAAGAATAGTTATTGTGCTGACTTTGCTTCCAGAGGCAGTTTGGAACTCTGTAGTGAGTGTTGCAACCGAGTACGGGCGTTTTTACGCGGTAGGTGCTTCAGCACTCGGCGGTCCCATTCTGTGAGCTTGTGTGGCCTACCACTTCGCGGCTGAGCCGTTGTTGCTCCCATTACACAATAACAGCACTTACAGTTGACCGGGGCAGCTCTAGCAGGGCAGAAATTTGACGAACTGACTTGTTGGAAAGGTGGCATCCTATGACGGTGCCACCTTGAAAGTCACAGAGCTCTTCAGTATGAGCCATTCTACTGCCAATGTTTGTCTATGGAGATTGCATGGCTGTGTGCTCGAATCTATTCACCTGTCAGCAACGGGTGTGGCTGAAATAGCCAAATCTACTAATTTGAAGGAGAGTCCACATACTTTTGTGATATGTACGGTATATGTGTGTACACGCAACATGTGTTGGTCGCATGTTTCATGAGCTGAAGTAAAAGATCCTAGAAATTGTCCATAGGCACAAAAAGCTTATTTCTATCAAATTTGTCACAAATTTGTTTACATCCCTGTTATTGAGCATTTCTCCTTTGCCAAGATAATCCATCCACCTGACAGGTGTGGCATATGACATAGCTGATTAAACAGCATGATCATTACACAGGTGCACCTTGTGCTGGGGACAATAAAAGGCCACTCAAAATGTGCAGTTTTGTCACACAACACAATGCATCAGATGTTTTGAGGCAGCTTGCAATTGGCATGCTGACTGCAGGAATGTTCAACGGAGCTGTTGCATTTCTCTACCATAAGCCGCCTCCAACGTTGTTTTCGAGGATTTGTCAGTATGTCCAACCGGCCTCTCAACTGCCGACCACGTGTATGCCGTCGTGTGGGCGAGCGGTTTACTGATTTCAACGTTGTGAACAGAGTGCCCCATGGTGGTGTTGGGGTTATGGTATGGGCAGGCATAAGCTACGGATAACGAACACAATTGCATTTTATCGAATGCAAATTGAATGCACAGAAATACCGTGACGAGATCCTGAGGCCCATTTCTTTTAAGGTATCTGTGACCAACAGATGCATATCTGTATTCTCATTTGTGAAATCCATAGATTAGGGCCTAATTTATTTATTTCAATTGACTGATTTCCTCATGAACTGTAAGTCAGGAAAATCGATGAAATTGTTGCATTTATATTATTTTAATTTAACCTGCATCGTTGGGAATGGTTCGGAAGCAAGCATTTCACTGTAAAGTCTACACCAGTTTTATTCGGCGCATGTGGTAAATAACATTTGAGTAAGACTCTTTTTGCATGTTTATGGACCAAGAAAGCTGTAGATCAGTGTGCGTGTGTGCTTTCACAATCTATGAGCAGATTTGAGTCATTCAGACAGAACGTGCATCGTCGTTTCATATTTTTTTCCTACCCTCGCTCTTGTTAGATATTCTGCACATGTATGGCTTGGTAGAAAATGTAATCGCCATTGAGCTAGTTCTCATAGTTCTCATGCCATCTTAATTTACCCAGTTTATCAATAGATTTATCATTCAAATAAAATTATTACCATTATGTAGTTTGGTAAAAACAAAGTAAAATGTATTGTTTGATTTGAAAATTGATGCGTTAATGCATACATGGCTGTCTGGGAAATGTTTGTCTTCAACATTTTCAAATGTAATGATATTGAATATTGGCCTAAAATATTGTCCATCGGTTTCCTTGACCCCAAAAAATCGGCATCGGCCCTAAATGATCCATATCGGTAGTTCTCTAGCCTCCTTGTTGAGGATCAGCGTGGCGGAGGTGTTGTTGCCTACCTTCACCACATGGGCTCGGCCTGTCAGGAAGTCCAGGACCCAGTTGCACAGGGAGGGGTTCAGACCCTGGGCCCTGAGCTTAGTGATGAGCTTGGAGGGCACTATGCTGTTGAAGGCTAAATTGCAGTAGATTAACTGCATTCTTACATAGGTATTCCTTTTGTCCACGTGGGTTTGGGCAGTGTGCAGTGCAATGGCGGTTGCGTACTACGTGGACCTGTTGGGGCGGTATGGAAATTGTAGTTGATCTAGGTAAGATGGAGGTGATATGGTCCTTAACTAGGCTCTCAAAGCACTTCATGATTACAGAAATGAGTGCTACGGGGTGATAGTTAGTTATTTCGTTTATTTACCTTCGCTTTCTTGGGTACAGGAACGATGGTGGACATCTTGAAGCAAGTGGGGACAACAGACTGAGAGATTGAATGTCCCTAAACACTCCAGCCAGCTGGTCTGCACATACTCTGTGGACGCGGCTAGGGATGCCGTCTGGGCCGGCAGCCTTGCGAGGGTTAACACTCTTAAATGTCTTACTTACAGTACGTCGGCTACAGAGATCGGGAGCACACAGTCCTTGTGAGCGGCGGACCACGTCGGCGGCTCAGTGTTTCGCTTGTCCGGAAGTGAGGCGTCGGTGTTCGAGATGTGGCTGGCTTTCCCTTTATAAGCCGGGGTTGTCTGGAGTCCCTGCCTCATGTGTCTCCTGTCTGAGCTGTTGAGTTGCAACTCCACTTTGTCTCAATATTGATGTTTTGCCACTTTGATTGCCTTACGGAGTTCATATTTCTTCCAGAGACAATTCGCCTTTAAACAAAACATGTAAGGTCCTTGGACTATAAGGAGTAACGTTAGGCTCCTTTAGTCCATTATTGGGCTAGCCTGTCAGCAATAACACTGTTATAACAGAGAAGCATTAATTACTTTCTAGCAAGTCCTGAACAATGGAAATCGTGTAGCCAGATGATGCATCTTCACGCCATTGTTGTTGTAATGATTATGAACAGGTTTGTTTAGTATTTCTTTGTGTTTTAGGTCTGGTTGGTGTGAGTGTGAACCAGAAACTATTAGGTAGAAATGCCATTAGAAATCACCAGAGTGCTCGCAGCCTCATCCAGATGCCAAGGAGAGACCCATCACAATGGATGACGTTTCAGCACCTCAACTTCTTGAAGCGCCAGGTAAGTCACATGCAGCCCATATTAGCAGTCAACAACAACGCTGTTACGTGAGTGATGGACAACATTCTGTCCTTAGATTGTGCCCTATCATACCAATTGACTTCTCAGTCCATGCTCATGTAGCCTAGTTTACCTATTTGTACCAGGTAATGTCAGGACATGTAGACAGGATTAGCTATTTTATAATTGCAGCCGTATAGGCTACGTCATGGGCAGCCGCCACTTATTGATAAAAAATAAGAGAACGACTAGCTAAATGTGTTACATGTGTGCCAATGACAGACCACCTTTATCTTCACACACGCTATCTGCTCTACCACCCTCTCCCCAGTATGTGATGAGGAGTAACAATGCCCTCTATCAGAGAGCTAAACCTAAGCAGACAGCCATCTTGACCGTCCTCGAGGACAATCGTGATGACAGTCAGATCCAGCAGGTCCCAACCATCGACCATGTGCCTATGGTCACCGATGTCACACCACCTCCACCACAGCCAGAGACCACAACCACAAATGTGACTGCAACACCTGTCTCAAGTCCTGTCTCGACTGTGGCTGCACAGGAGATACTTGCTGTGTTGAAACCTACCTCCAGCAAGACTGTGTCACCACCACAGACAAAGGCTGTATCCAGTGCAGCTGGGTCTGGGACTGAGATGTTAGAGGTGCCCCATGTGCAGGTGGAGTCGGATGAAGCCAGGGAGGCTCGGCTGGAGAGGCAGTGGAAGGAGCTCAAGGTGGACCTGGCTGAGCTTCCGGATGTGTACGCCAAACTTGCCAAAATCAAACTCACAGGTATGGTATGGCAAGGACTAGGCTAAACACACCAGACTACTCGGTAACTAAACTCAAGTCTTAATTGCTGAGTGATCAAGCTTTAGCAAGCATTGACAGTATTATGATTAAAGGTATTTTTTATTTTTTTTGTCCATAAAACCGAAGGAACATGTATGAAAGCATTTCTTATTTTCTGTCAAGGATAGGCACAATTTGGCCTAGGGTATTGCTTCGCCTTTCACAAAGATGGGAACTTGTATCATTTGCATATACTCAGGGATGCAAACTCGTCACTTTCCGGCGATATCCGCCATTTTGATTTCAAAATAGGTCGTCCACATGAATCGTGTAGATCCTAAGAAAATAAGTTTGGTGTGGTGGGGTATGTTTCTCGTATTGAAATGATTGACTGAGCACAGAATTAATCCCTACGCGTCCTTCAATGGGAATATCAAACAGTTCAGAGTGTGATGTCAGATATATCAGAATTAGTTCTTTATACAATATCTTCAAAGGTAGGATGCATATGCCTAATCAATGAATAAAAAAATCAATCTATTTTTTTCTGGTGTTACTTAAATTCTATTTGGTGCCTAACATTTGGGAGCTGTGTGTGAAGGGGGGAATGGAGAAAAAGAGTGGTGTGAGTGTGTCTCTGTGCCTGTGTGTGAGAGCAAGAGTGTGTAAGCTATGTGTGTAAAGTTGTCTGAAGAGTAGGCTAGTGATTGGGGGGGGGGGGGAATCGATACAGTTACATATCGGGATATTATTTTTGACGATGTATCCTTTTGACAATATCGCAATATTATTTTTGCGCTAGTTGGCTGTACCTGCACCAAAACTCCAGTATTTTTCCTTCATAGCTTGTTCTCCATCTTCTTTTTAAATAGGAGCTGATTTGTTTTCAGCACTTTTATTTCCATGACTGATAAAAAAATTGTTTTCTCATGGCTCTCTCTTGTCCCTCTGCAGTAGACATATGGTGAGCAATATGTTTGGAACATCGAATCGCAATAAAATCACAGAATTGTGATAATGTCGTGTCATGAGGTCCCTGGCAATTCCCAGCCCTACTAAATATGGTTTCATATAGTGTTTTCTCCCCCTTACTGCCACAATGAGAATGCAGATCATTATGCATTTCTATTCCTTGATATATTCCTCCTGCCAAATCACAGGTGGACCTTTGGATATTAGCAAATCGGCCATTTTCTGCAGTATCCCATTCAATGTGTTGTATTGAGTAGAGGTGTGAATATGAGGGACAGGTTTTTGTGTAGCACACGTGCAGAACGTATAGAACACAGTATCGTGATACTTGACCTGGTATCACATCGTTAGTAAAAGGTTGGTATCGTGACAACCCCACTCTGAAAATAAGCAAACTTTTTAGCAGTTTACACAGAATTGTTTCTAGTGTTTCCTTGTCACCTTTTTGGGAACTCACCAGTTTGCATTCCTGGTACTGTTCTGCAAGTAATTGCCCAAAGCTGTAGGCCTATAATTGATATGGAAATTATGTTGGGTATTCAAGGATGATAAGCATGCATGTTGCTTGTGTGTAGGTATGATGTTGATATTGTTGTCTGGTTGTTTCAGCATTAGTAGTGTGGACGGCAGCAGCTGGTTTTGCCATGGCTCCAGTACCCTTTGACCCTGCCACCTTCTTCCTGGCATCCCTCGGGACAGGACTCGCCTCCTGCACCGCCAACTCCATCAACCAGGTCAGTTACGTCACAGCTGTATGTGCGTGTTTGTCCAAATTGTGGTGCAGAGTAGTCTGCCTGGGCAGTCTTGGTTTGGTTTCAGACATTGTCTTGTTATTGCAGTGGGATATGACTGTCGGTAAAGGACTGTGAAGAAAAGCACAATTAGCTGTGTATATAGGCCTGCTGTATTATTAATGTGGACTATATCACCCTTGTGATGACCTTTGTTTTACATGGAGAGAAGTCTTTGGTTTCTGGCTCTGTATGGGTGGGTAATGGCTCAGAAAACTTTCATGATTCTTCAGGTCAACCCCAAACTTAAAAAACATTAAAATCACTGTAATCGGCCCTGAGTGGTCTATTTTTATTTTATTTCTCCCACTTAAGTTGTTTCTCTGAAAGATGGAAGAGGCCTCATTTCAACGGCGGGCAAGATTACAGTTGGGTTCTGCAACGCGTAATAGATTTCCATTACACTTTACACTAACATGAACTCACTGGCTGACAGATATGCACACACACACGGTACTGTCCCTCATCGTGCCCTTCTTGTTGTTCTACAAAACATTGCGGGAGCCATTGACAGCACCTTTGAACTGTAGTTAAATTCCTCTCTCGCTGCGTATCTAAAAAATGTATTAACAGGCGACTCAAACTGTAATACTGTTATTATTTGCCTGCTGAAAGCTTTTTCGTAACAAAAAATAGAGGGGCCGCTGTGCCTGGACACTTAAAATGCCTGGAATAATCAGACCTCACTGGGTTGCAGAGTGTTGACGCTGTGCGCTGGAATGCGCTCCATGACTTAAGAATATTAGTTTAATGGACAACCTCTCCCTCAGCCCTGGGTTGAACCCAAATTATCTGCGGCCCTCTGCCTGTAATTTGTCCAGGGCCGTGATTACACTGCAGGTTCCTGCCCTAGGGGCCAGATAGCAGGGTCATGTTCACTAGGTAGGCACCAAACAGAAGAAAAACGACTAAAACTGGGAGGGGCTAACCTGAACTAGTCCAATGAGAAACACTTGTTTTTGTTGCAAAATGTTTTCGGTTGCAGAAACCTCCCTTAGCCCTAACACTAGCCCAGCCTTCAACAGCCAAGTTCCAGGCAGTATCCTCCTCCTCCCTCTCGTTCAGAGCTGGAATTAGGTTATTTTCTCAACTGGGTCACAATGAACGGAACTTACAATTTGTCCCAACAATCCAAAGCTCTTGGACCTGACCGTTCCGTGCAGGCATGTAGTATTATTTTCTCTAGTCTAGTGTGTCATCGTCAGGGTGACGTCTGTAGATATGAATGTGCAAATGTTTACCGTTGTGGTGGGAATATCAATTTATCAAACCTAAATCCTTATTGGAAAAAATGGCATTGTCCTGTTGATGACTTCTTGGAACTAAGCTCTGCCTGCCTTTCCTCTTCCATTTACCTCTTTACCCATCTACCTTACACTAGAGCAGGAGTGTAAATATCCTACAGGTATGACAGTTATGTCTCCTTCTCTAAAGGCAGGGGCAGGTTGGTAGTCTCTAAGCCCCAGCTGCAGGGCTCCAGGGCCCCAGCCCTGAGCAGTTCACAGTGCTGAGGGATGGGTGAGGCAGTAGCTACATCGTGTCCTTCCCTGTATCTGGATCAGTGGGCCCACTCAAGTCAGCCGCTGTCAATCTTCATTTTCGCTATAGAAATGTCTCGGGGCGAGGAAGGACATAATGATCCATCTTTCATTTAGATTACTAGATCTTTCTCCTTTCACCATCCCCTCTTTATTTCCTCCCAGCACAGCAGTCACCAGCCTGGCCTAGTCAGAACAGAAGCCTGGGGCTTGGGTGAAGGTGAAGTCCAAGGTGCCACCCACTAAGACTGTGTGTAGGTGAGGGGTCTGGGGCCCTGCAAAATCAGTTAAATTTGTCCGATTCGGTTTTATTTTTTTCCCATATTCTGTTTAGTTTTTCCAGGTTTCCGTTTTTCGCTCTCAAAATCATAAGACCAATGTTAGCAATGTTTCTGTAGCACTCATGTGATTACAGCGTTTGTAAAACAAATGGCCACTGAATTGATGCAAATAATCATGAGATCATTCAACACGCACACATAGACGCGTGCATTCCTGTGCCCTTGCCTCTTAAGAAAGTTGAAGGAAAATATGAAACACTGATGCATTTTGTTAATGTATTATGATAATCTTGGGCAAATTAATGCATTTCCTACTAAGTTCAATACAATTTTGAATATTGTTGAATTCCGTTTTAATGTCTGGATTCTTTGATTCCGTCTGCCTTCTACGCAACACAGAATTTTTAAGGTACTAGAGGGGAGTGTGTTGCTGTAGTTTGGGTAGGTTTTGGGTGTGGGTTGGCCGCTGTTCTGAAGTGGGCAGTGTGGAACATGTAGACTACCCTCAACCGGACATGAGTGGTAGTAGTCTTAAGTAGTAGAGTTGGGAGGTAGTATTACAGTAGAGAAGGACAAATGGTAGTCCTGCTGATTTGTTTTGTTTGATGTGCCTCCGCTTTGAAGTCTTAATGGGCCAGCCAGCCAGGCTAGTGCATTATGGGTGGGTGGTGGTGTGCACTTGGCCAACTGACAGTCATTTATTCATGCTGGCAAAGAGACACACAGGAAGAAAATTGTGGATGAGGTAGAAATGCCACAGAATCTGAGGTGTCATTGGATCGCGGTAAATTGTCTTTGAAAGTAAATACAGAGCTCTTGTTGGACTGTCTTAACTCAACATGTTGTTTTCCTCCCTTTTTTTATGTGGATGGCCTTGTTTTTCTCAGACCTTACGTAAGCAGAGCCTGAGTCTCCTCACCGTTCTGTCTGGAATCTGAGGGCATTAAATCTTTAGGCCAGGGCTAGTCTTTCTTGTGGCCAGCACCAGTTGTCAGACAGACCAGGGCATCACTCCACACAAGGCAGCCCCTGTCTGCCCCCATGTTCCTTGTCTTTCTCAATGTCCCGCTGTGGTGACAGATCCCTGTGATGCCATCATAGTTTTAATTGGCAAGATGGAGGGATTGAATTAAATGTAGTTTAAAGGAAAAGAGCCACCTGGTTCAAGGAGGCCTTTTCATCTAGTGGGCACCTCAAATGGGGCCTTATTCCCTACATAATGCTCTACTTTTGATTATATACAGTGCTATGAAAAAGTATTATCCCCCTTTCTAATTTTCTCTATTTTTGCATATTTGTGATACTGACTGTTATCAGATCTTCAACCAAAACCTAATATTAGATAAAGGGAACATAAGTGAACAAATAACACAACAATTACATATTTATTTCATAAACAAAGTTATGCAACACCCAATTCCCCTGTGTGAAAAAGTAATTGCCCCCTTACACTCAATAACATGGTTGTGCCACCTTTAGCTGCAATGACTCCAACCAAATGCTTCCTGTAGTTGTTGATCAGTCTCTCACGTCGCTGTGGAGGAATTTTGGCCCACTTCCATGCAGAACTGCTTTAACTCAGTGACGTGTGGGTTTTCAAGCATGAACTGCTCGTTTCAAGTCCTGCCACAACATCTCAATTGGGATTAGGTCTGGACTTTGACTAGGCCATTCCAAAACGTCCAATTTGTTGCTTTTTAGCAATTTTCATGTAGACTTGATTGTGTGTTTTGGATCATTGTCTTGCTGCATGACCCAGCTGCGCTTCAGCTTCAGCTCACAGACGGATGGTCTGACATTCTCCTGTAGAATTCTCTGATACAGAGCAGAATTCATGGTTCCTTCTATTAAGGCAAGTCGTCCAGGTCCTGAGGCAGCAAAGCATCCCCAAACCATCACACCACCACCACCATGCTTGACCTTTGGTATAATGTTCTTTGGAATGCAGAGTTTAGTTTTCGCCAGGCATTACTGGAACCATGTCGTCCAAAAAGTTATACTTTTGAATCATCTGTCCATAGAACGTTTTTCCAAGAGTCTTGATGATCATCCAAGTGCTTTTTGGCAAACTTGAGTCAACTTTTTTGACGAGATGGCTCCCATTTATGCCTGGCGAAAACCAAACACTGCACACTTTGTTTATGAAATAAATATGTAATTGTTGTGTTATTTGTTCACTTATGTTCCCTTTATCTAATATTAGGTTTTGGTTGAAGATCTGATAACATTCAGTATCACAAATATGCAAAAGTAGAGAAAATTAGAAAGGGGCAAATACTTTTTCATAGCACTGTAGGGAATAGGGTGCCATTTGGGACACAGTCTAACCTAACCTATGCTGGGAGCATGCCTGCTCAATGATCCTGGCTGGCTTATGATACTTTCATGAAAAAAAAATATCCAATGAGCCCATAGAGAGATTAAGGTTTTACAGTATTAGTATTTGTTTCTCTAATTGATAGGGTGTAACAATTCTTAGACAAAGAAAGCCAGTTAATTACAAGTTGGCAGTTGCTCCTTTTTTAAATATTTATACTGTACGTATGTCAATGCACGTGACTGCTAAGTAGTTGTTGTTTTTGCTTTGTTTGGAAAATAATGTAATTTTATTTTGTGTAATTACACACACAAAGGCCTAGGGGTTGTCATTGACACGTAACACTACGGTGCGCTGCCACACACACTTTGCTTCCATGGCGACTCTCTGATCCTCCGGATCATCTGACAGGGTTTTGTCTCGTAAAAGAAACACACCCTCACCTGGGCGTAATTGATCTAAACACTTTGGTCGTCCTTTTGGTTTTCATAATGCAAAAACAAGAAAGGGAGTGGTACAAAAAAAAGACAATTTTTTTAGATGTGGTGCCAAGTTCTTTTTTTTTTTCCATCTTTAAAAGTAGTGCCACAGCGTCAGTACTGTGGTTGGGCTTGATCAAAGCACACACTTATTTTCTTGATTTGACAAATAAAACTACAGCAGGACAATCAAATCAAAGTAAGCAGAGGGTAGATCCCCCACTAAAGATCCACTTCCTATGAATTCCCCCGCTGCCTTTTAATCCTTTAATGTTTTGGGCCCTGAAGACTGAAGAGTCGGCGGCGGACAGAGTGTGTGTGTGCGACTGAGGGAGTGTGACCACACAAAACAACTGTGGTTGAATTACCTTCAGGAAAGGGAGAAAAGAAAATGTCTTTGGGGAGAAGAATGCCTGACTTGACAGACTCTGGGTTGGTATCCCAAATAGCACCCTATTCCCTGTATAGTGCACTACATTTGACCAATGCTCTATGGGCCCTGGTCAAAAGTAGTGCACTATATAGGGAATAGGGTGTCATTTGGGATTTAACCTGGGTCTATGAAGCAGCAAAGGGAGGCCAGACCTTCAGTAGTGCAGCTATCAAAGCCAAGGCTGCTGTTCTTCCCATGGGGGAAGTGCCCGAAGGCAGGCACTCACAGACAGAAATGTTGTGGTTTCTTTTCTTAAACAACCCCATTTAGGGAAACTGACACAAGGATGTAAGTGCCTGGAGTCACGTAACAATGGCATGGCACCGTCTGGAGTTTCTCACTGCACTGAAAAGACACAATGACAGTTAGTCATTTGATTTGACCTCCTCGAGTCAGAGAGCCAGAGAAGGATAGTGGGCTTTTGCAGGCTTTTTTCCTCTTCCGCTAGAGTTCCCAACAAAACTCAAACAGCTGGCTTGGCAGTTGGATCTCTAGCTTTGGTTCACGACAAACTGTCAGACTACCTCACCAGATGAAATGTGCCCAATTGATTTCACAGACAGGGTGGTAGTTAGGGCTGAATAGCGGGAACTGGGTTACCGAGATTTCCCGCCCAAACCCATTCCCTTTTTCCCGGGATAAATAACTGCAAGAAACCGGTAAATTCTAATAAAGTATTTATATAAACAGCATGACGTAAAATGGTACTGTTAAATGATATGTGATGTCTTGAGTCTGGCTTCTCTACGGCCTTCTCTCTGCATGATCAACGCTCAGGGTGGGGACAGACTGCGCATGTCAGTATGGAGCACAGTTCACAATGCATGTATCCTCTCATGGTAACTTTTTGTTCTTGTGACAGGTAGGCCTACATTTGCTGCAGCATAGCGTATGTTATAGCAATATAAGGACTGAATGCATGTCTAATTTACATCAGTCTGGCTTTCGGGGGTCACCTTATTTTTTTAAATTACTTTAAATTACAGCTGCAGAGTTCTAAAACAGCCTATCACTCGAATATCGTTGCTTTAAATCAGTGCTCATGCGAGCAGTCTTTCTCCATCAATTCCATTCAAATGTCATCCACAGTAGATAATCCTGTTCAAGATTAATACAGTATATATAGATGTCCTACCCTACCTCTTTCAGTTAATACATTATATCCAGTATTAGCCTTATATTTAGCTAATGAATGATGGGTTATGCATAAGCTTCTAACTTATAGCCCCGGTCTCTTGTGGAATATGCACCTGCTCTCCACTGGCCTCTCATTAAAAAACACTTCTTAGCTCTTGGAGTCCCAGGAAAACTACACTAGAATAGCTTGATGGACATATATTTTTTGCATTTCTTATATTAATAGACTATTCAATGAGGTATGAAAGATCTTGTTTGATGAATGTAAATACAGCAGCCAATAGGCGTTTGAAAGAAGAGTGAACAGGCTACGGTGGTAGGCTTTAGCAGTTATTATTCAGACCCATAACCATTCAATCTTCGTGAAGAGAAGTGAAGGCCGTCTGCATCTTATTCTAGTCCACATTTTATTCAAGCATGTCATGACAAGGATGACGATGAGGACAACACAACTAATTTCATTTAACTGTTGAAAGTGAGGAAGGAATGAAGCAACACTAGAGAGAGAAAGCAATAAATCAAATGTATTGGTCACATACACAT